AACGCGCAAACACCTTATTGTGCTGCCTTCAAGGTTATTGCCTTCATTCTGTGTCCGTTGTCGCATGTAGACGGACGCGTGTTTTGTTCCTCCAGGAAAAAGAGAAAATAATGATAACCTCTTCCAGAAAATGATGGTGTTTATCAAATATTTTATTGTTTGCCAGTTTTAACGGTTATGTAAAAAGAAAAACAGATCTAGGATTGTAAAGCGTTTTAAAAGAAGTAACGATTTAAACTGGAATATTTGAAATCTATTCCTATGCTTTTCAAGTACCTTAGGCTCAAATACTAGATCTGCGAAAGCATTGCACATATACAATTATTAGGTATCTTATTCAGAGAAAATACTGGAATTCTCTCATGTCAAGAAAGTATATAGCATATGTAATACATACATGAAATGCGTGATGTCTAAGCCCGCCTATAAGTACGGGCTCTGCAGCGCATTTCTGTTGCTGGGCAGCAAAGAGCGAGACAATCCCTTCCGCCAACCTCACTTTTGCACACACACTGAACCCGGAATTCCGGTAAGATGTGCTATTCTTCCATGTGTGCAGGAGATCCAGTATCCTGTTTGGAGTCGGGGAGGAAGATCTGGTCCGACTTACAAAGGAGAGGTTGCACCCTTAAGGGACTAAGTTCCCGGCACGGAGCAGCCAGTGTATCGCGGGACATGGTAGCGTGTGGACGTACGTTCCGGCGCAGCGTATCCCTCAGTTGACTGTACAGTGGTAGCGGGTGCGCGCGTGTCTCGAGGCTGAATGAGACCGATGGTGATTTTTTTTTTTTTTATTTGGGTGTTTTAGAAAAGTGTTCTTGATTAGTGATGATGTGGATATCTACGTAGATGTATTTGTATCTAGTAAGACTCAGATGTCGCAGGTAAACTTATTGTGATGACTGGAGAAACTGAAGAAAATATGACTGAGCAATTGAAGAAAATATGATGAGAAAATGTTTTGTAAAGTCCTTGCCGCTCGATCGCTTTTTTGTGCACCGCATGAACAGATTTGCAAATTCTTTTAGATAACAATAACTAAAATCTTTTTGTTTGTACACATTTTTTGCACTTATTACTAAGCATAAAAACTATCTACATAAACACACCAAGGTCCTGAAAAACTCGTGAGGAATTTTCGAATTACAATCAGTGTGATATTTGCGGTATATGTGTATATCCCCCATCAACGTCGAGTGCCATTCCTCGGTGCCAAGACCTTTCCCGCACGGTGCCCGCCGCCTGAGGGAACCATTCCATCACAAACGCCGCCAAACGGAAAGAAGCGTCTCGGCGCGGGGTTTCGGGCGTGCCATCGACGGTGCCACGAATCTTCCGCAACATGTGGCACACGAGGGACATGTTAAGTGGAAAGGCCGGGAGGGAAACGGGGCGTGAGATACTTGCGAGTTCCTTTCGCTCGTAATTCTCACGGCGACCTGACTGCCAAGAATTTTCCCGTCACGCCCGCGGCACATAGCCTGTTCTTTGAGGAGCCAGCGGCGCTAATAAGCCGTGAAACACGGTGTCAATCACGGGCGCGACGCAAATATACAGGCATAGTGCATGCAGGCAGAGTAAAATAAACGTGCTAATCGAAATATTAATAGTTCCTCTCTGTCAAATGGCGAAAGCTTACATTTATTCTTAGCCGCATTATCTTCGGCTCTGGTGAATACTGAAGGTATATAGTGTCTGAATTGTGGATATCAATATATCTATTATGATGATGATAACCATAAATTTCTGTTTGAAAAACTGATTACTGTATCTATAAAGAATTGTTCGAGGCGGCGATGACAATTGATGGTAATTATAATAATTAGCGTATGTAAAATGAATATACAGTAATTGTAATGATAACAAAATGTAAATGAATATGATAATAGCACAAATAGCGATGATAATGCCAAGGCCTTACACCTATTGATATAGCTATAACCATAACTATGATGATAAAAAGTAAGAATCATAATATCGCTTACAAACGTAGGAATATGATAGCATCAATATCAATTTTGTCTTATCGTAGAGATTGATTCCTTTAGCCCTCTAATAATAATGAATAATAATGCTTAATACTGCGCGAATTTATTATGATGAAGTCGCATTTATTCTATCGACAATTAACAATATAAACTAACAGTATTTTGAACAGCTAACTCTGCTGTTTTCATGGTCAATTTTATATAATCTACCATCTGTTGTTTCGTTGTTATTATAACTGATAATGCTCTCTAATTCGGATAACAATTATCATGGTAAAATGATAATGCCGTTGATGATAATTAATGTACATTTAAATTAATGGTATGTGTATACTTGTAGGGGAATATATATGTGTCCATATATATAAATATATGGTTATCTCTATCTTTATCTGTCCATCTACATTTATTCGCATATGTATACATATGTATATACACATATATTTACCGATGTGTGTGTGTGTATGTATATATATGTATATATATGTATATGTATATATTATATATTATAA